AGATGAAGTGATAAAGTTGCTTGGTATACGACGCGGTCTCAGAAGAGTGTAAAACACTGTTCGAAGCTTTCTCCTGCGATGAAGTAGACAACAAAAATAACCTAAGGTGCATTGCAAATTTTAATGGTCTAACTGAGGCATATCGAACCTATACCAAGTCTGTTCTCTTTTTCATAACCCATCAACTGCGGTATTTAATGTAAACCAGAGATGCATTCATCTAGTGCAGCCTAAACAGCATCATGCATTGTTGAACCTTGGATAATTATATTAATGAGAAATGGTCTGCGGGTGCCTACATGTTTTTTTAAATTGAAAGAATCTTAAGTGTGGCTGAAATTAAGCGGATAGCTATTATCCTTGCCGTGCTTGCATTTCAAAACCACTTATACTTTTAGATTGCAGATGGTATCAAGCCGTCACTGACAGAATTAGAAAAATTTCAAGAGGGGTCTGAAGACCTGAAGACGGAATGTAAGTTTCGCTGGAAAGCGACCCTCGTTTTAATTAAAATCAATTTTCCTCTCAGTTGCCACTATAAACGTTAACGAGAAAAGGCATAGCTTTGCCGCTGGTGACAACGTCGAAGTAGTCGAGGGCGAACTGATGAACCTCCACGGTAAAGTGTTAAATGTCGACGAAGACAAAGTAATGATGCTTCCTGACCACGCGGATCTGAAGGCAATAACAAAAATGGTGATTATGTCCAAAGCGTTTTATGTCGACTGTCGTTTAGGACCCACTCACGTTTTCTGCGCACGAGCTTAAGAAGTACTTCAAAGTGGGCGATCACGTGAGGGTACTTGCCGGACACTTTGAAAATGACACCGGTCTCATCGTTCACGTGGAGGAAAATCTTGTTATTTTGCTTTCAGATCTCACGATGCATGAGGTAAAGAGCATTGTGTGGTTATTCATGGGTTCTTAAGTTCCTTTTCTAAAATTAAATTTGGTCTATGAGCACCTAAGCAAGAAATCATGTATAGAATAAGTGACTGAAAGCAGCTGGCAAATCAAGACTTTGATAATGGCCACAGGTAGTTTGACAAATGGCAAAAAGCTGCAAGGTAAGACCTCAAGCTCAAACTTACTTGTAGACAGACAGCTTTGATAAAGTAGGGCCATTACCAGTGAAAACGATAACAGGTATATGAATATGACAGGAGTTTCATATACTTGTATTAAGGACAGAGGTTCTCATAGCTTCCTTTGAATAAGACGGTTAAATGGCATTTAGAAGGACATTCGTTTATGAATCCGATTGTATTTAGTCTGCAACAAGATGGTTCAAGATGCAAGTAGGACTTGTTGCGTGGAACACGATACCACCACATCATGAGAATGAATACGAGTTGTTTGTACTCCAAAGTTGTCAAATTGTCAATGACTCTTTCAAAGTTAAATTTCACGGCGTATGGCACCGCCCTATTGCTTTTAGTCGACTGGAAGAGAACATTTAAGTAAACCGTGGCGCATTAATATTTGAGTGCTTCACGAACGACGGAGAAAATGATGTAAGATGCATGTGACACTACAGGAGCTCAGATACCATGTAGCCATGACTCGCATAAACGCCCCGTCCCTTTTGTAAGGACTGTGAACCAGGGGTGGTGCAGTACTCCGTGAAATATGGTCTTGGATCTTTCGAACGGATTTTAGGCTAACCGCACTGCGGTTCATGTCTTAGCTGCATGTTGTTATTTGACGTCCCTTTCAGATGTTTATCTTATTTTGTAAACATGCATAGCTGAAAGTAAGACCAAAGGACGTGCAACTGTGCCAGGAGGTGGCGACTGGAGTCGATTCGCTTGGCCAATACCAGTATGGCGATTTGATTCAGATCGATCAACAGACGGTCGGCGTTATCGTTCGTTTGGAGCGAGAATACGCTCAAGTGTTGAACATGCATGGCAAGGTTACTTCAATCGATACGTGCATGTTCTCTTACGCAGTTGCATCTGCGCGTGTTTCAGGTGGTGAGGATCCGACTGCAAGCCGTGGTTGATAAGAAAGACTCGCGCTACGCGGTTGCGTTAGACTCTGATCAGAACAATATCATGATCGGCGACATGGTTCGCATCGTAGATGGACCTCATGTGGTAAATTACTGACCATTTGAGTGTTCTCATCACGTGTTTGTCTAAAGAGAGGTATTTCAGGGAAAACAGGGCGAAATCAAGCATTTATACCGGTCGTACGTTTTTGTGCACTCACGTGTCTATCCGGAGA